CACTGGGACTACAGAGTGATACAGTACGATGGTTCCAGTGAAACACACGCTTGTCAAAGACATCAGGTAAACAGACCTGGAACGGGTTGGTGTCGTCGGCCGGGTCCGGGAACCGGGTGTACTGCGACATGGCTCCGTGCGGCCCTTGGACGAGGTGCGGGGGCCCGCGGTCTGAGCCCGGGCTGGGACAGGGGCGATTCCGCGGATTGGCAACGACGCCCCAGAACCGGCAGCGGAGGCGCGATACCGACACCGCCGCCCTCCTGCGCGCTGGAAACGCCGCGTTCACGCCGGAGCGAAAAGAAGCTCACCCTCGCCACGGACGCGCTGTTCTCGTCTCGTGCTGGCTCGGGACCTGCAGCGCCGCACTCCTCCCTGTCTGCGTCTCCGGGCGCTCGCGCTGAGCTGGGCTGGGGAACCCGGAAGTCCGGTCAGCTGACGGGCGCCGCATGTGACCGCGGCGCGCATGCGCAGGGCTCTGCGAGTTTTTTTGAGGTTGAACTGGGGAGCCTGAGCGCTGAAGTCCTGTGACGACAACTGTTCCCTTAATCATCAGCTAGGTGTGGATTTAGTTTAGTAACCGTGGGGATATCCACTGCTGCTGCACTTGTGCTGGCTATGTGATTTGTTTTTCTCCTTGTGGTCGATCAGCAGAAAGCGTTGCTCTTTTCTCAGTCTCTTGCTGACTGGTGTTTTTTAAGTAAACTTTTATACTCGACGCTGTAACACGGTTGCAGCTGTAGTTTAATGAGGTCCTCCTAGAGCCCTGTACACCTGTCACACAGCGCCACGCCCCGGTTTCTCTTCTCTCTGTCCCCCACTGTGTCTGGAAGACGGAGCCACACAGACCCCTCAGTCTCTCTCAGGAGCAGCTGCTTCAGGCTCAGTGTTTCTCTCCTGATGTCTGCGGGCTGCGTCTCTGAGGCCTGCTGCATGCGTGTACCACTGTGTGTCTCTCAATCTGTCATCCGCTGGGGGGTCCTGCCCGCCTTGGAAAACCCACCCCAATAAAGCACCGAGACTTGACACGGCAGGGTCACTCAGAGTTTACAAACCCAAGTGCTTTGAAGCTCTTCAGAAAGAAAAAACAAAATTCAAAGCGACCTGCAGTACTCTCCATGACCAGCAGAGGGGGGGTGCGCTCGCCTTAAAAGACGAGGAAAGCGATTCTCACAGCGCGCTGGTTCGACTGTCCTGTTTGTTAAGTGACATGTGGTTGGGTTTTTTCAATCCAGCGATATAAAAGCACGAATTGTTCTAACTACTACACTTTCATTCGAGCGGCACAGGCCAAGCAAGGCTCGGCCGGGACAGCCTCGAAGGAGAACCAGCTTTTCCACTGTGAGTACAATAACGACAGTATAATAACAAATGGGGGAAACTGCGCCAGAAGAGGCTATTCGGGAAAAGGTTTAGCCGTTTGTGTTGGTTCGTCTTTTCCGTCTTGTTCAAACATTTGACGAAGCAATTAAAAAGACAAACAAGATGCTGGGACATCGACCCAAAAGCTTAAAATTTAAATCAAGTCTGTTATGAGTCACTAATAAGGTCCGATTTAGAATATTTTGCACAATCCTGGTTACCAGGTAATAGAAAATATGTAGCTACTATAATATGTAGCTACTTTGGAATCAGAAAGGAGATCCCGGATATATTCCTGGTCTGAAGGGAGTGTCTCGCACTGACAGGCTGGAGGAACTGAGTCTCTTCAGTCTGAAGGGAGTGTCTCGCACTGACAGGCTGG